GCAGCCTGTTCCAGCGCTTGACAACCCTTTAGGTGAAGATATTTTTCCTAATCTCCAATTTTATCTTCTCCTGGTGCAACTTGAGGCTATTTCCTCTTGTCCTATCACTTGTTTCTTGGGAAAAGAGACTGACCCCCCCCGCCTCTCTACAACCTCCTTTCAGGGAGTTGTAGAGAGCAATAAGGTCTCCCCTCAGCCTCTTTTTCTCCAGGCTGAACAACCCCAGTTCCCTCAGCTGCTCCTCATGGGACTTGTTCTCCAGACCCTTCACCAGTTTCGTTGCCCTTCTCTGGATGTGTTCCAGTCCCTCGGTGTCCTTGGAGTGAGGGGCCCAAAACTGAGCGCAGGATCTAAGGTGCAGCCTCGTGAGTGTCGAGTACAGGGGGACAATCCCTGCCCTGGTCCTACTGGCCCCACTATTCCTGACACAAGCCAGGGTGCTGTTGGCCTTGGCCACCTGGGCACGCTGCTGGCTCATCTTCAGCTATCTGTCAACCAACACCCCCAGGTCCCTTTCTGCCGCGCAGCTCTCCAGCCACTCCTCCCCAAACCAGGAGCGTTGCCGGGGGTTGTTGTGACCCAAGTGCAGGACCTGGCACTGGCCTTGTGGAACCTCACAGGATTGGCCTCAGCCCATGGATCCATCCTGGACCATGCAAACCACTACTCAGCGCGGCCTCAAAGCGGCCACGGTGGTTTCCACCACCTCAGTGGTCCAGCCCCTTAATCCAGGGACCTACCTGTCAAAACTTTGATGTCTGGGAGTGATTGTATTTAAATCCCTGATTTCTCCAGCTTCTCTGCCCGGCCTGGGCTGGACTATTTCTGGCAAGTCATGGCTATACCTGCGTCTGCTCGGTGCTTTGAGGTCGCGGGAGTGCTGCTTTGGAGATAGCGGGGATTTATGCCAGCCCTCAGAGCAACATTCAAAATGCATGAAGACATGCCGTATGAAGGGACCGGGCAAAAACACACAAGAGTGAACCGTGGCCGTGGTAGAGCTGAACCGTGCAGATGGGAAGGTGGTTACTGAGGCTAAGTGTCAGAGCATGCCATAAAAATTTAGTTTATCCTCAAAGAGCTGTGGTCGTGGAGGAAGGATGGGCACGGGGAGGGATGGCAGCTAAGGAGAAGGCAGAAGGAACATTGGAAATCTATAGTCCGTGTCAAGCGGCACCTCCTATTTAGCAGTGTATCATGTCTCCCTTCTGGTTTTTAAACAGTAGCCTTTATTGCTAGGAGTTAGAGTGCTTGATTGACAAGGCTTGTAATACACCGTGGAGTTGCCTTTATTTTTCCTACATGTTAAAGAAAAAGATACTAAAAATACAATTATGGTTTTGAGCCAGGCATAGTCTGTTCTAATATAATTCATCTCAAAGACTATCCATCGTGCCTGCTGCACCCAAATCATTTATAAAACATTAGCATCTCCTGTGCTGACATTTCACTCCTATATTACGGGAGTTACACGCAGACTTAAAAAAAAAATTAATAAAGTGCTTCTCTTCTTCATTCTCCCACTGAGAGCTTTGATTTCCAGAGTATGAAACGAAATAACCAACATAACAACATTCTCCACTTCTAAGGGACAGTGCCAGACTCATTCAGTTGCTATTGGTTATAGAGAGTGGGACGTGAGGGAGCTATTTCAGATCACGGATTATTTGTTCTGGCTGCATTGGACATCCCTTTAGTGGAGCTTTAGAGCCCTGTAGACAGAAAAGTTTGGGTAGGAGCTGGAAGGGAGAGGCCTTGATGAAGTAACCTCTTCCTTTCTCCTCCCAGAGTCACTTCTGCTATTCCCCAAGACAGGTATTTAAAAGTAAGACATCCAAGCCTTTGCCTCTCCTTGCTTGCGAGACAGACAGAAGACACTGTGCCCTCCCCGGCTGCCCACTCCCAGCACTCAACTGCTCTTAAAAATAAGTGCATCCGGAAATTAATCTTTTCTTTTTTCTTTGTTCTTTTTTCTTTTTTTTTTTTGCCTGGGAGTTTCCCTTTTCATTTCCAGATACCTCCAGGGGATCTGCCAGTGCGTAAATGCCGTCTCCCCATCCCCAAAGCGCTTGGGAGAGCAGATTTCCCGAGCTGGCCCGTTCTTCTTGAAGCCAGAGATGTGTCTGGTGGAAAACACGAGCCGTTTTCTTGGGGCTCCCCAGCCCCAGGTTTTCTGGGGGCCCCCCAGCCCCATGCGTGAGCTGTGGGCTAGAAACGTGCCGCCGCTGAGACACCGTTACAAAATGAACAGCAGCCTTGTCTTGTCCAAGATCGCTTTTATTTCCCTTGTTTCGTTAACTGCAGGATCTGGTTGATCTCGTGTATCCACACTGACAAGGAATTCGCACCGAC